ATACTCTTCCGAGAATCACTCACTCAAAGTCCAGCGTTGTTGTCGTTCCGCTGCCCCTGAAGTTTCTCTTCCAGGAAACCTCACCGAAGTTTCTCTTCCAGGACACCTCGCGTCTTCAATTGGCCATTCTACAAGCTTCAAACTTCTTTGCCGGAAACACGTCGGCTTCACACACGCAGCTGTTGCCACGTGTCTTCGCTCGATAGCGGTAAACACACCCTCTTGCCTGTAGCTCGAGTCGTCACCCCTCAGGTGGAAATCATCTTCTTCTCCTGCTTTGTCTCAACGGACAAAACCTTCGCCGACTACACGGCGGAATCCCTACGTGCTCTGGCGCTAACTTCCGTCTTCTCCTGATCTCTCGTCTCGGCTGCTCGATTAAATACCTTCCGCGCGAGATTCCAGAAAGTTCTCATCATTTCGTCCGCGCGATGCGCAGCAAAGGCTGGGGGAAAGGTCGAGAGGATACGAGGGCCGTCCGCGTCGGATGACTCAACCCGGCATTACCACGCCCCTTTCCATCGAGAAATTTCGAGTGCTTGCTCGGCCGCCGATGTGGGGTGAGGAGGTTCGTCGGCGAAGCCACGCTTCCGAGGGGAGAGGGAGCGTGCCCGGGGAGCTTGTTTTCTTCTTTTCTTTTTCTTTTGGCCTCGCGGCGTCACTCCGGCGTTTCGTCGCGACAATTTGGCGGCGCGCCCGTTTTTGAGCGCTCGTTCTGTGACAACCGTGTGAGCCATAACCTCAAGAAAGTGGCTTCCCGTTATCGTGTTCCGGTTGTTTTTTCAGCTCCCAACAAACTTGCTCGGTTGTGCCCACGCATCACATGCGATGAGCAAAGGGGCTGCCAAAAGCAGCACACAAGACTTTTTAGGCGCTGTGCACAAGGCGTGGTATATGGGACTCCCCTAGGCTGTGGCACGTTCTATATCGGTCAAACGGGGCGTTGCTATAATGACAGACTGAGGGAGCATGCCAATAGTTTAGGTAAAAGTGAGCATGCGCATCTTCCAGCGCACTGTAAAGCCTGTGGATGTGTGCCATTGTTTGAAAGGACGGTGATTCTTGGTAGGTGCAAAAAACAAACAGCTAGAGAGCTCGCGGTAGCCTATTACATCAAAAAGAAAGGGCCCGATTGTATCAGTGACACATCTATTGTGTTGTACGCAACAGAAATGCATTTTTTTATAACTTATTGCCTTGTTCATGACGCTGTGCGATGTTTCTTGGTTGTGCACGCATGCGCGGTTTTGTCTACTTTCCAGTGCGTTTCCTAGACGGTCATTAAACAGTTGGTAGTTGGCGCTGTTCTGTCTTCTCTCCTGCTCTTCCTGCTTCACGTTATGTTTTTTGCGCCTCAGTCTTCTGCACCAAGTATGCACCAACGAGCCCAAAAACAAGTCCTTTGGGATCCCACAGGTCGACTCGCTCGCTGGGCTACGCCAGCTAAAGTATACCTACACGGTAGTGAACAAAAACGGCAGACTACCCCAAGACGCCCATTGCTTGTCACGCTACCATGTGGCAGGCGAGGTTTCTTCGAGCAGCGACTCCATTAAGGGCATAATTTCCACGTTCCATCTACTTCGCCTTGGTGACGACAAGCGTCGGGATCCACACCTAAGCCGAATAAAACAACGGATGCGATCATATCCAAATGACACCTATGTACGCATGTTTGCCTTAAGGAATAACAATTTATGTCAGCATAATTTGTTGCCCATCGGTCCCGTCCCGATCTACTGCTGGTCGTACCAAAGCACCTGCGCTCTACTGTCCTCCGCGAGCTTTATGAAGCACCAACCACTGGTCACCTTGGCGTTTCTCGCACGTATTACCGCGTGCGCCACTACTTCTACTGAGCTTGCCTTGCACGCTCTTTGCGGCATTATGTCAACGCCTTCGAAGTTTGTCAGCGCCGCAAAAAGTGATCGGGACGTCCTGCCGGCCACTTTCAGCCTATTGATACCCCACCGGAGCCTTTCTTTCTAGTCCATGTGGATATTTTCGGGCCCTTTCCAACATCAACTTCGGGCAACAATTGCTCACGCTGACCACCATCGTCAGCTTGTCGTTAACCGACCCGATAGCACCTTTCCGACAAGCGATATCGCGAACAACGATTCCCAGCGGGTTTTCTCGTTGTTTCGTTGTTTTCTTGTCCCCATCGTGACCCGTCGGCCTTTCAGAGAAGCTACTTTTTCGTTTCACGGGCCCATAACGCTGCTTCTACAAGTAACGGGCTTTAGGTGCAAAATTGCCCCGCATCACCACAAAACCTCGTCGCCTCTGTTATCTCGTGACGGGGTTCACGTATGAAGGCTCAAGTACTACCACGCCCTTCTACTGTGACCACAGAGACGCGCCGTGTTGGCGCTTTTGCCACCGGTGGTGTGTTCTATGGTTTCAGTCACATTATCAGTGTATAACGGAACATACTCTAAAAGGCGCTGAGTAGGAAGTTGAAGAAGGTGACTGTGCTGCACTGTTGCCGGTAACTGACAGTTTTATCGTCATGTAACAATATCTAAGTCAACATTTATTTATTTATTTATTTATTTATTTATTTATTTATTTATTTATTTATTTAGTTAGTTAGTTAGTTAGTTAGTTAGTTAGTTAGTTAGTTAGTTAGTTAGTTAGTTAGTTAGTTAGTTAGTTAGTTAGTTATCTATTTTTATTGTTTATTTGATTTGCATACACAGACACACAAAAACACAGAGGAAAGAAGGAGAGAGCAAGCTGGCAACTGCCACCTGGAGGGGCACAACGCCTGCTCACTCTTTCGGGAGGAGGGAAGAAACAGAGGAAACAAAGATTAGAGGGGAGAAAGAGGAAAGAAGATGAGGAAGAGAGAAAAAAATGACGATGACTTCGGCGAGTATGAGTAAAAAAACATATATAAAATATAAAAAGCATTCCCAGGATATTGGAATAAAGCCGCGGTAGCGCTAGCCCCTCATTTTTTTCTAGACGGCATAAAAACAGGTACTCAACTTACTCCACATTCGTGGTGTATATGATTCCGCTAATTCGTCAAAAAAATTTACATCGGCATCAGGCAAACTAGACGATGCCTAAATGAAAGACTGCGCGAGCACTTAGATTCGTTGAACTCGTCAGAAGGGGCTAATATTTCCCGTCATTGTCGGATCTGTGGACGTAATGTAAATTTTCTCGGTAGAGGAGTGGGCGGCAAGGTAGGACGCAAAATCCTTGAAGCATACTATATCAACAAGCACAGGGACAATTGTGTCGCACTACATCCATTTCACTAATGTGGACGTAATGTGAGTTCGTGTCAATCTGGAGGTATGATCTCGATCGGCTTTCAAGCAAACCGGCTCACTGCGTGGGCGCGCGTGCGTGCGTGCGTGCGTGCGTGCGTGTGTGTGTGCGTGTGTGTGTGTGTGCGTGTGTGTGTGTGCGTGCGTGCGTGCGTGTGTGTGTGTGCGCGTGCGTGTGCGTGTGTATGTATATAGTGTGTGTGTGTATGTGTGTGTGCGTGTGCGTGTGTGTGTGTGTGCGTGTGTGCGTGTGTGTGTGTGTGTGTGTGTGTGTTCGTGCGTGTGCGTCGCCTTGCTTCTCTTGGAAACTGGAGCAGGTCAATAAAGCACAACTGCTAGTCTTGTTCCTTACCTTCCTTGTCCGCCGTGTTATTCACACGTTTATGCTTCAGCGTCACACTGACCCCGACTTCGACTATTGGTTGCAACTTCAGCCTTGATGAAGACAAGTCGGCTTGTGAAAACGTTGGCTCCATCACACTACCCAGTTTACGGATTTTTGTCAGGACGTGTCGAGACAATCTTAATCAATGAGCGGCGAAAGGAATGCGTAATGGTAGATTTGATGATTAATATTCAGAAAACTATTGAGTAACAGTCTCAGAACAGAACAGTGCTTTGGAATAGGTAGCGAGGCAATTGAAGCGGTAAAGTGAATGTTTGCTGAGGACAGGTATTCACTGTGGAGCCGAACCTTAAGACTTAATTAACTATAGAGGAAGAATTGGGTGGAGCACGTACATTAAGCAGGCATTCTCAAATCATAAATGGTATTTTATCAATATTCCCTGATTGTAATATATATATAACAGCACATCGTACCGGCACTTACCCTCAAGGCAGACACCTGAAGGCTTACAAAGAGGGTTGACTTAAATTAAGGACGACGCAGCATGTAATAGAAAAGAAAAGGATAGCTTTAACCTTAAGAGACACGATGGAAAGTCAACCACTCGTCATTAGATGTAATAAACTGGATTCCAAGGGAAGACGAAGTCGCGAAGGGGAGAAATAAATTTAGGTGAACAGATGAGATTAAAAAGTTCGCGGGTGTATCGTGGCAGCAATAAGCGCAAAACCGGATTTATTGGTGAAACATGGGAGACGCTTTCGCTCTAGAGTGCGTGCGGTTAGGCTGATAATGATTACAATGATGGAAACCACTGCGGTCGTTTTATTTATGAACAAGGAAAGGCTTATCTATTCGGAGAGTGCTCATTTCATTTCTTTATTTAAACGCAATCCCATGTCCCACTATTACAAAGGTATATATAGAGATAGGTTCTGCATAGAAGAAACACGAGTAATCCATCGATATGTGTACATTCGTCTGCATAGAACGAAGGTTATTGGTTAAGGAGCATGGTCTAGCGTCAAACAAAGACGGGTGATACAGAAAGGACGATCATAAGTCAAGAGCCTGCCCAAATGGATTGTCGCCATTCACTTAAAAAATAGAGCACAAGTACTACAGATGCACAGAGTTGTGTGAAATATGAAGCAAACATACTGTGCAAGTTATAGCACGAAAACTAAAGAATTTTCGTGATGACGAAAGTAGGCAAGGCTGCCAAATAAACGCACGTGGCGGACATCCTTGGTGAGAGTTTTTATCTAGTGCTGGTATAGTTGCAGTTCACGCATGTTTCCGTGGATTAGTTTGATTCTCAAAGCACTCTCTTCTCGCGTTTTCCTTGTCATTCCTAACACGTGCAGATCCAATGTCATTGGAAGGAGACGAATGGGTCGAAAATCGCAGGTTCTGCCTCCAAGCGCTCAGGGATATCGGCTTCGCCAGACCGTCAGTACAGAACGACATTTTGGTAAGGACAAAAAGTTGTTCTTGCTCATGTTAATATCGCACCATAAAAAAAAGTCACAGCTTTGCCGCAAAGACGAAGCAATGACCGTGATAGCAACAAACTGAAAGGTCGTGCTCAGAATGGAAAGCAGATCCAAACGTGCCCCTCGTTTCTCACGACAAATGACGCACGAAACGTATTCACAGGTATGGATGCACGCGAATAAGCGTGTTATTTGTTACTTCGCTGTGTCCAAAAAGCACGTGCTTTTCGAAAATGGAGACTGCAATGATTGCAGTGACCTTTGTGCTCCCAGAAACTACAGCATAATCGTTCCTCGTAAAGCCCGAGGCCAGCCAAAATGTACAATCCTCCTCTCTTTGCCACCACCAGATAAAGGCGGGCGAGGGAGCCTCGCTGCCCTTCTGTAAGCCGGGCAAAGTACGCGTAGAAGATTAGAGCAGGCGCCGCGTGCCCACACACACAATGTGATTCCTAAATGAAAAGAAGATAAAAGTGAGCCCAGTAATTGTCTCTGAAGGGGAGGACACCTTAACAATGGCTCACTAGGGATGAGGGTAAGGAGAGATTAAAAGGCTAGGATTAAAAGGTATAGAGATAGAGAGAGTGGAAAGAGAGAGCGAGGTGCAGGGACAGCCACATACGGAAGCGAGGAGAATATAGGAAAGATGGACACGGTCGCAGGAGTCTGAGGACGGAGCTCCACTCGGCGAGAGCTCTTGTCGGCGTCAGAAGATGGCGTAGGGCCAGCCGGTCGGCCAGAGCTGCGCTGTCGTCGGAGATCACCGGGGCACAATTGGTCGGCACGAAATCCAGTGAGCGAGTCCCGCGCGCTCATTACGCTGTCTTGCTGTCTTGCTGGTAATGCTGAAATCACAATTCCCCCTAAGATGCTCCTGATATATAAATACTGGTAGATATAAATAGCTTGCCGTTTGAACGGCGAAGGACGCGCCCACAGGTGGCTCAGTGGTTAACACTTCGCTTTCACGACGCAGAGGTCTCACGTTCGAGTCCGCGCACCGGAATGTTTTCTGTGTTTTGCGTATATATATATATATATATATATATATATATATATATATATATATATATATATATATATATATATATATATATATATATATATATATATATATATATATATATATATATATATTCAGTGAGTGATGGTGACGCTGATGTAAACGCCGACGCCGGCAGAAAAATCCAGCTGAGAGTGTACATATATTTACTATCGCAGTAAATCAATGTACTGCGTAACAGGGGGAGTTTTCATACAGAATGACATCCCTAGAGGTCGTGTGCCTAACCAGTCCTTACGCATCGTTAATCAGGCTTGTTCACTATCCAGGAGACATTAACGTTAGAATCTTTTTGAAGGGGGTCCTTGCAACTTTCGATTGTTGAAGTTACGCTTTCCCTGACAGGGCGCTTCTTCTTTCACCTGAGACATTTTTTAATGATGCAGGAATTCACAGTTTAATTCCGCATTGGAGTGTGCTGGATAATGTACAGATGGAGTGTAAATGTTCGTTAAAATGACCCTACAGCACTTTCTGAGCATGGTCTGAAAACACTGCCTATCACTATTAGAGGCTCCCGAAGACACGCAAGCGAAATATTATGGCGAATTTAGTGGCCTGGAATTCACAATAAATTGTCAGAGTCAGCTAAAAATTGCTTTCTCTTCTCTCCATAAATGACGAAAGCCGCTCAAAAAAACGTGTGCAGAAGGCCTCTTAGCAGCCATTGGCTGATTCGAACAAGGCGCTCCTCATCATTATAGGGATCGCCGCGAAAGGCCGCAACTTGTCCACGCGCACGTGAGTGATCACACGAAAAAGGCCACGTATTCGAAAAAAAAAGAGAAAAAGTGCTCAAGGTCACGAGGCTTGCGTGACGTATTTTCCAATCCCCTGCCATCTCTCCCTTCTTAGCCTCCAGGGCTTTTGCCGGGACAAGAGAAGAGGGAACCCAATTGCAGCGTGCGACAGTTCTTCGTAACTCCGCTCGTACTGTACGGATTCTTAAAACTTTTGCAGCATTGAACTCGTGACGCAATAAGCTCTTTTAATGAATCCAATCCCTGGTTACTTCAAAGAGTGTTCAGGGCACCTTTAAGGTCTTACCATGTCATACGCTGACCTTGAAAATGCGACCCACGGCGCTAAACGTGCCTGCATCTCCCGTAATCGAGAGTAGCTGTATAGACATGAAATCTCTACCGACAAAGCCCATTGGTAGGAGATTATAGTAGCCACAAGCTTGTGCAAAAGCGCATTTAACTAACCTACACCACGCCACGACGCTATGCTGTGCTGTTTACTAGTTCATACGAACGCAACCACCTATATATATATATATATATATATATATATATATATATATATATATATATATATATATATATATATATATATATATATATATATATATATATATATATATATATATATATATATATATATATATATATATATATATATATATGTGTGTGTGTGTGTGTGTGTGTGTGTGTGTGTGTGTGTGTGTGTGTGTGTGTGACGTATGAAGTGATGGTTGGTAGAAGTAGAGGAGGAAGAAGTCAGAGTAGAATAAACATGGCGTATGAGCTTGGTTAGCTTCCACTCCCGCCAAGGATTGGCCGATAGACTATTTGTTACGCAGTGGAGCGAGAAGTGTCCCTGTGGCGCTGCTACCTACAGATGGGGGCAGTATTCCGGTGAAGAACCCAAAGGCGATTCAAGTGGAGCTTCGAAAAGCCACTTCGCATCCCCAGGAGATCACTGAGGTCCGCCAGTTTGGTCGCGGAGGCATCCTGTGCTGTTCCGCAGATCAGGAATGCATTCGTGAGCTCCTGAAATGTTCCGAATTCGCAGCGCATCCGGTAAGCCCATTTATTCCGGCACACCTCGCATGCTCGAAAGGATTAGTCCGCGGTGTAGACACAAGCCTGACACCTGCAGATGTGCTCGATTTGTTTTCGGTGGCGGGTGTAATTTCAGTGTACAGGTGTACCCGTACAATTGACAACATAAAATCACCAACGGAATCGGTGATAGTGACCTTTTTAGGAACAGTCCGACCTTCCGAAATTAAGGCATGGCCACTGATCTATAAGGTAGAGCCACTTTCCCCCAAACCCCTGCAGTGTTTGAAATGTTGGCGATATGGACATAGTGTCAGAGGGTGCCGATCAGTTCTTAGATGCCGTCTGTGTGGTGAAAATCATGACAGCCGCGAGTGCAGCTCTGAGAAAGAGAGGTGCTGCTTATGTAATGGAGCGCACCCTGCCGACTCCGCAGACTGTGCAGCAAAAGAAAGGGAGCTTGCCATATTGGATATAGTAGAACGCAAGAGGTGCTCTCGGAGAGAAGCCGTTGCAGAAATGCAGGAGAGATCCAAAGGATATGCCAGTGTTGCAGCACGTAATACCACCGCCATGGATGCATCTCTCGCAACATCTATCGCAGAGGCCGTAGAGAAGGCTATGGAAAAGGCAATGGAACGCCTCGCAAACAACCTTTTTGAAAGCTTGGCACAATTGGTTTCCAATCAACTATCTCAAATTCTAGGTGTCGCATCTACGAACGATTGGGCTCCTCAGACATCATTGGTATCGCAGCGTACGGAAATAGAAAGTGCGACAACACGTCAGCGAGCGGTTTCTCCTGAGGCAGGGACTTCCAAACAACGGAAGACGGTGATCTTACGGATGATTCGGAAGCATGTGCAGATATGGATATGGACTCTCATAAGGCTCTGAAGCGAACCCGATCTCCCCAATCAAAAAACTCTTCGCATAATTCGAAATCTAAAAAGTATCTATCCAAAAAAGAATTCTTTGAGAACATGTCTAAGAAAGACTTTTTGCGAAAGGACATTTTGGACCAAGCAGTTTCTGCGACGGTTCTGTCGTCAAAATAGGTTCACTAACCATATTACAGTGGAATTGCAGATCTATATTTTCCGCAGCCACAGACCTATCATACCTTTCTTCACAACTTTCCCCGGATATTATATCACTGCAAGAAACCTGGCTTTCAACCAGCCAGAAGTTTCACCTAAAAAATTATCGGCTATTTCGATTGGACCGACCTAGCAGAGGTGGTGGGCTTGCTGTCTTGATAGCAACTAAGTTTAGTAACAAAGCTACGATCTCTTATCGTTGTGTGACTCCAGATTGTGAAATTTTGATAGTAGACATAATATTACCAGACGCTTCTCCCTTGTCGTTTGTAAATGCGTATTTCCCAGCCGGGGTGCAAGACACACGAAGTCTAGACGATATGTTCTCTGCCTGCAGAAAGGATATATTAATCACTGGAGACTTCAATTCACATCATGTGGCCTGGGGTTTTAAAACAGATTTAAGCGGAAAACGATTGTGAGAATGGGCTATTGACAAGAATTTATCCTGTTTAAATTCGCAATCTGCTACTTTTGTCCGAGGTATCTCTAAATCTGTAATTGACTTGACATTTTCAAGCTCATCTCTAAATATATGTTCGTGGCAAACTTTAGACTGTGCTACTAACAGTGACCACTTGCCTATTAGTTTTGTACTGAACTTTCCAAGAATACATGTCGCCGAAAAGGCCCGCTCATTCCTCAACTATAGAAAATTAGAAAAAGACATGAGGGCTACTTTTGATCACCGCAAGGACATACAAGGTGACATTAGGGCTATGAGTCTGTGTGCAGTATTAAAAAGATCAGTAAAAGACGCAACGTTTAAATTAGACTCGGCCACAAGAGGTTCTTTTAGTCCATGGTGGACTGAAGAGTGCACGAGGAGCTATAGAAAACGGAAAGCTGCATGGAAACAACTGCTGATCAACCAATGTCCAAAAAATTGGTGTGATTATAAATTCGCAGCAGCAGATTTCAAACGCACAGTAAGTACAGCAAAAGATGGTTATAATATGAAACGACATGAGTATCTTTCTAGGGCTAAAAACAAAAAAGCGCTCTTCAGATTTTTAAGATCTCAAAAG